TATCATATGAGTTCACAACATCATCTCTTGTTTCATGGCTCAAATACTTGTAATGTTAGTCACAAACCCTTGACCGCAATTTTGAATTATTTAACAGACTTGAATATGATGATGCACATTGATGAAGAAAGATCTCGAAGTGTTGAAGATAATCGAAACCCTAATCCAGGACTTTGAAGAATATCCCTGTGGCTTGACGAAGAAGGAAGCCCATGATACCTCAGAACTTCATTCCATAATCCACTGCTCAAGAACCAAACGAATTTGTTTTTACCTGATGAAGAAACTTCAAACCAAAATTAAACATAACGATGGCACAACCCTAATGCTTTGTACCAAAGTGTCTGATTCCATGAGATGCATGATATGCAAATGACTTAGTGAAAATGATGCAAATGGGATGCAAAGTCTAAGCCAGACAAAAGAAAAAGGTAAGGCAAATTTGAAGTACGACAAGATGCAATTGACAGTGGTCTCTTTCCCATGAACATTTCACTTCCAAACAAAATTATCGAATTGATCCATATTACTCAAATTTATAATCACGTAAATTCGTACACAATAGGGGTGGATAAAAAACCATCACCCACCCATAACCGACAAAACCGAATTCAATAATCATTAAACAATTGGTTTTGAACAGATTAGCAGGTCATCGGGTTAATAATTTCAGTTTGATGTGCGTATTATTGTTATAATTAATTTAGATTTAATTAAATATTAATTTATATTTAGGAATATCTTTTAGATTGTTTATATCTTTGTTAGAAGATATAAATCTTAGATCTTCTTGTATCTTTGTAGAAGATATATTTTAGATTTAATTTGTGTGTATAAATAGCCTAGTGGAGTAGGTTATTATAATTCATTGTAAATTCTTTTTTTGAAGCTATCAGTAAATATTTCTTTTGCCTTTTATCTTCCTTGTGCTCCAACAATTGGTATCTAAAGCTCCAGGTTAGAAACTCTAGAATTTGGGAAACATTTCTTTTCATTGAGTTTCTGCGTAAATTGCACAAGGTAGAAGATGAACGGAAACTGCGATATTCATTCCAAGCTTCCAGTATTTGATGGAAAAAACTGGAATCGTTGGAAGATCCAAATGCGCGTGTTATTTGGTTCTCAAGATGTGTTAGATCTTGTCACTGATGGCTATAATCTGTTAGAAGCAAACGCAACAGAGGCCCAGAAGATAGCACAAAAGGCGCCGAGGAAGAAAGATCAGAAAGCGTTGTTCTATATCCATCAATGTGTGGATGTGAATGTGTTTGAGAAGATTGCTGATTCTGAAACAACAAAGGCTGCACGGGACACACTGGTCAAATATTACGGTGGTGACGCATCAGTGAAGAAGGTGAAGCTTCAGTCTCTCAGAAAGCAATATGAGAATCTCAACATGAAGGATAACGAGAAGGTTTCTGAATACATCTCTAGAGTGATTCTGATTACTAATGAGATGAAAGCTTGTGGAGAAAATCTGTCTGAACAAGTAATTATTGAAAAGATCTTGAGATCTTTAACTTCTTAGTTTAATTACATTGTTGTAGCAATTGAACATTCCAAAGATATCAACACCATGAGAGTTGAAGAGCTGCAAAGTAGTCTAGAGGCACATGAGTTGCGTATGACTGCAAGAAATTCTGAGAGGGAAGTAGAGCAGCAGACTTTGAAAGTAACTTCTGGTAAGAAGCATCAGAAGCAGACTTGGTCAGAAGCCAAGAAGAGAACTAATGGTGGTCAAAAGTCAGAAGCTTCAAATTCTGATAGGCAGAAGAATGTCCAAAAGGGAAAGGAGAAGTATGAAAAGAAGAATGTTCAGTGTTACTTTTTCAAGAACTTTGGTCACTATGCCAGAGATTGCTGGTCCAACAAAGAAAGGAAGCCTGAAGAAGAAAAAGTAGCCAGAGGAGATTCAGATGATGAACCTGTGCTATTTATGGCTTATGAATCTGATGAGGAACCAATGAAATTGTCATTTTATGATTCTGAAGGGGAAGAAGAATATGACTATGAATATTCTGACTCAAAAGGAGTGATTTTGTATGAGTCAGAATCAGAATATGACTCTGAGTTAGAATCAGATGACGACTTTGAAGATTTTGAAGATGAGTCAGAATCTGAGGTTTCTGAAGACGAGTTAGAGTCAGAAGATGACTCTGAAGCTGAAGACAAGTCAGAATCCGAAGGTGATTCTGAGTCTGAAGAAGATGCTGCTTCTGAAGAAGAGTCAGAAGATGATGTCTCTGGAAACTATAAAGGTGAGTCAGATGGTGAATCTGATTTTGATCCAGATTTTGATGATGATTCAGAATTTGGTGGTGATCATGCTTCTAGAAGGGAAAACTCTAAAGACATAGGTTTTGGAGGACAAGCTTCTAAAGATGATCATGTTTCTAGTAGAAATCATGATTCTGAAAGTGGAACTTCTGAAGGAGGAGCTTCTGAAGGAAATTCAGCCTTTGATGATGATCATGATTCTGAAAGTGGAACTTCTAAAGGCAGAGGTGATCCAACTTTTGAAGATGGTATTTTTAAAGGTAGTGCTCTGACTCTGATGATGATTCAGACCCTGGGAATTTTCAAGACTCTGAAGACAGTCAAAGTTCTAGAGAAAGTCCAATTGCTGAAGCAAGTGCTTTTGAAGGGGAAAGTTCTGGTGTCCAAAGTTCTGAAGGTCCAGTTCAGAGGCAACAAAGAGTCAGAAGAATCCCAAGAAGGTTTGCAGAGTTAGACATGTTGCTAGACACTGAAGTAAACTCTGAAGGAGAAGTTATTCAGTGTACAATTTTAGTAGACTCTGAACCCGTGAGTACGAAAGAGGCTCTTAAGCAGCAAATTTGGTTATAAGCCATGAAAGAATAACTTGATGCTATAGAGAGAAACAAGACTTGAAAGCTGACAAAACTTCCAAAAGGCAAGAAAGCCATCAACATTAGATGGGTTTTATAGCAGAAGCTAAAGCCAGATGGATCAATTGGCAAACACAAAGCGAGATTAGTAGCAAGAGGCTTTCTACAGAAGCCTGGGCTGGATTACTTTGAAGTGTTTGCACCTGTAGCGATACATGAAACAATCAGAATAGTGATTGCAATAGCTGCTAACAGGAATTGGCCTCTGATGCATTTAGATGTAAAATCTGCATTTCTGAATGGTCCATTACAAGAAGAGGTGTACGTTTCACAACCTTCTGGATTTGAGAAAAAGAATCAGGAAGGGATGGTGTTCAAATTACACAAAGCATTGTATGAATTGAAGCAAGCGCCCAGAGCTTGGAACTTGAAAATTGATTCGTTTTTCAAGGAACAAGGGTTTCAGAAGTGTGAGATGGAGTATGGTGTTTATGTTCAGCACTTCAGAAGGTAATATGATTCTGGTATGTTTGTATGTTGATGACATATTACTCACAGGAAGTTCTGAACAAGAGATAGCCGAGTTCAAGAAAGTTCTGATGAATGCGTTTGAGATGACAGATCTTGGAAAAATGAGTTTCTTTCTAGGGATGGAATTTATATACTCTGAGAAAGGAATCATTTTACATCAGATGAAGTATGAACTAGAGCTTCTGAAGAGATTTGAGCTAGAAAATTGCAAGGTTGCTATCACACCTAATGATACGAATCAGAAGTTGGATTCTGATTCTAATGGAGAGGATGTGGATGCTACAACCTTCAAATAGATGGTTGGTTCTCTAAGGTATTTGTGTAATACCAGACCTGGTATTTTCTATTTAGTTGGAATGGTTAGCAGATTTATGAGCAAACCAAAGTGGTCCCATTACCAAGTTGCAGTCAGGATTCTGAGGTATGTGAAGGGAACTCTGAAATATGGAGTGTTATTTTCGTCTGAAAGAAAGATCGAATCAGCACTTCTGAGCTATTCTGATTCTGATTGATGCGGAGATAAAGTTGACAGAAGAAGTACTTCTGGGTACTTATTCAAATTTCTGGGAGGTCATATTTCTTGGTGTTTCAAGAAGTAACCTGTCGTTGCTCTGTCAACATGTGAAGTTGAATATATTGCAGGTGCTCTGACTGCATGTCAAGCTGTGTGGATTCTGAACTTGCTGAAAGATCTGAAGATTGAGGTGAATAAACCTCTAAAGCTGATGATTGATAACAAGTCTGCAATCAATCTTGCCAAGAATCCAGTGTTGCATGGGAGAAGCAAGCATATTGAAACCAAGTATCATTTTCTGAGAAATTCAGAATGGAATAATAGAGGTTGTGCACTAGCACTCAGAAGCAGTTGACAAATGTTCTGACAAAGGCTATCGAAACTGATCAATTTCTTGATTTAAGGGATGAAATTGATGTTGTCAGTTTTGGATAAATATAAATTAAGGGATGATGTTAGAATTAATTTAGATTTAATTAGATATAAATTTATATTTAGGAATATGTTTTAGATTGTTTATATCTTTGTTAGAAGATATAAATCTTATTAGATCTTCTTATATATTTGTAGAAGATATATTTTAGATTTAATTTGTGTGTATAAATAGCCTAATGAAGTAGATTATTGTAATTCATTGGAAATTCTTTTTTTTAAAACTATCAAGTAAATATTTATTTTGTCTTTTATCTTCCTTGTATTCCAACAATTATTGGGTCAGTTTGAATGTTAAAATCAAATCAATAACTCATCGAATATATTGTTCACAAAATTACATTGAGTGTGTCAAATCTCAATTGTTAAATCAATAATAGTAGAAATACAGAACATCTCTTTGACCATATAGCATTACTTTTAATTTTGTTTAAAACAAAAAAAAACAAACATAATATATCAAAATCAAAAGAAGAAATGAATCAACAAACTTGAATTTAATTTATCATAGATAAACGTATATTGTTCTGTTGTATATGTTGTTCCCTTTTTCTTACAAGACTTCACTTCCTTTTTTACTCTCTGTTTTTTTATATAAAATTTTATGCGTCATAATTTTTAAGCCATGCCTGTACAAGGAAAAAAAACAAAAGTGAACCTAATTTGACTCAAACTCAAACCCAAAACCTCACAAACCGAAAAAGAAAACCAAAAATAACGATAGCGACCAACATAATAAACATATCCATCGCTTTCTCTCTCCTCAACTTTCTCTCTCTCCTCTCTCTCTTCATCAAACAGAATCCCTCAAACCTTTCCTTCGTTTTCTCAACATCCATCTTCTTCCTCTCACCGTTCTCCATCGCCCCTTGCAAAATTACCAAACTATCCCTCCCAACCACGTGTCTTCCATCCATATCCTCCATACTAAAACTCACCTCCCTCACGTGCATCTCTCCCCCAGCTTTCCCACAGCACGTGACCTTTATCGTGCATTGCACTAATCCCATTACCACAGCGTATAAAACCTCAAACTCCCCCGTCAGCCAGTGACGTCTCACGGTAACCGGTAACCGGCTAGATAGGTTCAAAGATCGCTTACGTGTCGGTTCAATCATAATCCAGCTTAATGTTAGATTTTGTTCAAGCCACTCTACGACGTCGTTTTGCTCGAATTTTATATTTGTCTGAATAACTTCGTTTGGGTCGAGAATTTCAATCCATAGAGGTGAACATAAGAACCATCCATTAAGAGTTTCCGTGCGGAGGATTTTTGAAAAGACGGGTTTGCCCTTGTAGTATAAATCGACAGCGGAGATTAATTCTCTCGTCGGTGATGTTGTTGAGATTGATGGAGAAGTACAGGAAGAGGAGTAATCGACGGAGGGGAAGGAATCGGAGAAAACTGAACGGTGAGATGATGGGAAGGTGGAGATGAGTGACGTGGCGAGAGGATCATTGAGAGAAGGCCACATGGCAGTGGAGATTTTTTGCCAGAGGCGGTGTTCGGTGCAGAGACGGTTGAGGTGAGAGGCGGTGGAGGCGGCGGAAGTGAGAGATGTGCCGTCGAGTCGGGAGAGAATGTGAGATTGAATTATGTCTGGGTGGATGGCGGTGATGGGTGAGTTTGTTGAATGAGAAGAATCCATCGAAGTGAGAGATTGTGATTGTTTTTGAAGGGTTTTAGGAAGAGAAAGATTATAGAGAAAATGAGAAATGAAAGTGTGGTGAGGGGAAGGAGTTGTGGATATTTATAAAAAATTATGGTGAGAAGTAGGAAGCCAGGGATTAGGAGAGGGACTTGTGATTTGCATGTTTAGTGCCTATACAAGTTGAGGGTTAATGGAGTTAAAAGTCAAGAGTGGATGGTTATTAGTAGTAATGATGTTGGTATAATGCCGTTATCTTTATAATAGTATTTAATAGTTCTTAATTGGGAATTTGGAATCATCTCAGATATTTCGATTTTTGGAAATTTTTTTTTTTTAATTTGTTAATGGATAAACATTATTTGCTTGAATAGTGATTTATGATCTTGACCGATAAGAAGATTTATGTTAATGGTTTATTTTTAGAATTTGTTGGATAAGTTCTATTATTGACCTATTCATCCAATTATGTTAATTAAATTACTTTTTTTTTACATGTGCGTATCCTTTAAGCTTATTTATTTAAGTATGAAAAGAACTTATTTAATTGATAAGATGAAGAGTTGGAGAAGAGTTTTAAAAATACATTGATTTCGTCTAAGTAGAAATAAAAATATATGAAATGGAAATTTAGTAAATGAATATATATTTTTAGTTTAGAGGTGAAATTGGAGATCATATAATCATATAGATTATATAGTTTAAATAATTTCAATTTATAATACAAAATAATAGAGAAATAATAAATCATCAAATTCGAATTGGATGACTCAAACGGAGGAGGATTTAAAAAAAATTATGTGACGCAAAAGTATCACTCAAATTGAAGGAAATTTTGTATCAAACTGCGATAACATTTACGATGTTATCCAAGATAAAATGTTAGGCGGTTAAGAATCAACAAGAAAATAATATAAATGTATCAGAGACGAGGATGTTGCATTTGATGTGTAGTAAGACTAGATATGATAAAATTAAAAATAATAATTTTTTTTTATTGAGAAGGGCTGAAGTCCAAAGCATAAAATATTAGAGTAACAATCCTCGTATAGGATTTACCAATCATATCCACTACGTAATTCACATAAACTTCTTAAGGACAATTAGCAAAATACTCTATTCCTATTCTATTACTACTTCTCAGTTTAACGAGAGAATCAACACAACAATTTGCCTCGCGAAACACATGAATCATGCAAACCTCCATCTTTTTTCGTAGTTTCCTTCTAATCAGTCAGGGTAAAGTCGTCCCTGGACCCAAGTAGTGTTTCTCGGGGATTAAAGTATTGTATATCTCCTTGAAATGAATATGCGATTCTACCTTGGTGACTCTTTTGCTCTGAACCATTTTGAAACCTTCTAAAATTCCCCGTAACTCAGCAACTATGGTGGAACGTTTAGCAAGTGTCTTAGCAAAGCCATGTATCTATATGTCATCACTATTCCTTATCAATCCTCCACATCCTGCCAAACTAGTTTGATTCACTAAACCATCAGTGTTAAGAGTTTCTCAATCTCCATTTGAAGGAGACCAATGAATTTATTTAACTTATGTCTTCTTCATATCGAGTTTATTATGTGGTTCCAAACTCATGTTGTATTGTTGAACTTTCTCTTGTATATCATGAGCTAAGTTGTGAGGTATTACATAATCATCCACAAACATTCTCTAGTTCCTCTAATGTCATTAGGAATGAAACGTTGTTGCCCATATGGGCCTTCCAATTTCCACTCTTAAAGTCCAACCAGTCTTAAATTTGTAAGCTAAAACAGAGAGTCTAATGCTTTTTGTCAACAAAACTTAGCCTGACATGCTGAACCGTGTTATAATCTCTCGAGGCATGTAAAATTGATCCTTCTATTCTTGTGAAAATGTCATAGTGTTGTACTCCAAAATTTACCCTCTCATTTCTCAAGTGATTTCTCACAAGATCTCCTTTGATTCAAGACTGCACAAGGTTTGATCAGCTCAAGACACCTCCTTAAGCACTGATGACTGAAAATTAGGGTTTGAGTTTGCACAAGGACAAATGGACTTTTAATGCCCCATATGACTTTCATGGATCATTTTTGACTCTCAAGATTTCTCATGTCAAGTTTCAAGTCTTGGATCACATTTTTGCTCAGTCAATTGATCAGTTGACCTAAAATCATCTGTATTGGGGAAAAAGTCAATTATGGTCAATTTACAGTAAAACTTCATAATTTTTGGTTCATATCAACATTATGAACTCATATATGTCATTTTATCAAGTTTGGATCATAATTCCTCAAGAAATTTGATCAGATTATCAAAAGGGCAAAATGGTCAAAATTAGGGTTTTGACCTAGCAAATGATTGATTGGTTTAAGTTATGATCTCAATGTTTCAAATACTTCATTTTGACCTAATGGCATGGCTCAAAACATCTCTCAAGATCAATTGGTTGACAGATGAATTTCAAGTCAACTGATGAAAAGTCAACTATACACTGAAAAGTCAAACTTTGACTTTTTGATCAAAATCAAGTGTCAAAGATCACAATTCATTAAAACATGTCAAAATATGAAAATTGTTCATCAAGAAATCAAAAAGTCAAGATTTCATTTTGAAAAGTCAAAATATCTAAACTTAGAAATTTTTCTAAGTGTTGGAAATTCACATTTTTTTCATAACTTTGAGCCAAATTTCCACCATGATCCAAGATGATTCAAAGGAAACTTACAACATGAAAGTTGTAGATCTCAATGAGATCTAAAACATTTTAGAAAACAACTTTTTCTAGAAATGCATGGATTTTAAGTTATGATTTTGTGAAGACATGTTCACGAAACTTGAAATACTTAGTGAAATTTTGCCCTAGTTTAGGCAGGATTTTGACCTAACTTCATGGCAATTTTTCACATAGTTCCAAGATGAATATTCAAAATTTTTCCATCATAGAGGTTGTATAGGATGTTACAAGCTTTTCAAAATATCCAAGAACTCATTGAGATCATACTTGAGCAAGGAGAATCGAAGGCAAGAAGTTAGGGTTTCATTCTTGAATTACAAATCATTTCTTGATGAACACATAATTCAATCTCAATGTTAGGCTGCATAATCTTGCTTTGCAGGCCTTCTAACCTGTGTATCTATCCATCATTAATTTATTACACAAAATTTTGAGCTATAATCCAAGTGGTTTAAGCATTATCCAATTCAAATTGCCATTTTGGGAAGAAAGTTAACAATGCCATTCTTGAAAAGCAAGCTTTATGCACAAAGTCAATTCTTGAGCCTCTAACTTGTTCCCTCTGATCACACTCCATCTAAAAAGTTAGAAGCAAGTTTGTTTAAATCATAACCACTCTACATTAGCAAGTACGCAAGACATTGAAACTTGATTTCTCAAAAATCACATGTTGAGCTTAAACATGTGATTTTGAATTCTGATCAGATACAAGTCTCCAAACTTGGTTCTTATAAATAGAGGCACTATTTGTGAGTTAAGACACGAGCTCAAGCACCCTGAAACTCTCCCAAACTCCCTCAAGCCAGAAATTGTTTAAAAACACCATTGTTGCACAGTTTCTGACTTTGAACTTGTAACTCCCATTTCCCTCGTGCGTTTCTTAGCCTTTTGGTTCCTAAAGCTCCTATACATCAAATATAACTTATCCCTGTTGTAATACCCCAAATTTGTCCTACCCTTTTACTTTTGTCTGGTTTACGCATTCTCGCACTTCCCTCATGTACATAACCTTCATTAGGTCATCTAACACATGCATGCATCTCATTGTTTCCGTATTCATGGGATAAAGGTATTTGATCAACACAACAAAGCTATCGTAATTTTTCAACGCATGTTTGAGTTGTGGAAGATTTGGTTGTTTTCGGTGAATTTAAAACAATGCGAATTGGAAATAGTGTTTTTACTGATCAGAGTTTGAAAATTCGCATCTCCAGCTTGGAATGGTGTTTTGGGTTGATTCATGAGGATTTGAAACCGTCTCGATGTTCTATTCAATTTTTGTGTTTGGACCAAAAGCTAATTCTCAAAGGAAAGTCTCCGGATACGCGGTTCTTTTGGAAGTTATATGGTGAAAAATACAAAGAAAAAGGTGCTGAAAGTGCAGTTTTCGCACACTAAAAAATTCATAACTCGAAGACCATTTATCATTTTGAACCCGTTCCGGTGGATAAAATTCCGTCTTAATGTCATCTACATTTCGTATCTCACCGCCGGAAGCCAGTTCTACCCAGAGAGTCTTCGAATATATGAGACGAAACTTCAAAAAATCATAACTAAATCACCGTTTATCCGATCGAGCTCATCTTCGGACACGATGTTGTTCTCGATGTTGGATATATTTTAGTTTCACATTTCAACTTCTAAAGTCGAACCGAGATTCCTACGAATTTGCCTAAAACGTATCGCACTCAAGTGAATTAAAATTCTGCATTAATATTTATGAATATTTGAGACCCATTAACCAAATTCACTCACATAAGCTCATACTATATATTCTTTTTACTCCAATTTCTATCATAATTTAAAAATCTCCACAAACAATCAAAACTTTTCTCTCAATTCTCTCAAAGATCAAATCAAGGTTCTACACTTTTTTCATCAAGAACACAACAACAACTTCATCAAGCTCCAAAAGTCAAGATCAAGAGCAATTATCCTCCGATTGTCGATCCGTTCGTTGTGATCTCTATACCTAAGCCTCCTCTTCACTTCTATCGGTGAATTTTCTTGAATTAAGCGCTTTTTGAAATAAGTGATTTTTTGGAATAAGTGCTTTTTCTTGATTTTGTGTTGATTGATGTTTTAATTGTGTAATTGAGGCTTAATTGTTGAGAATTGATTTGAATTGAGAATTTAATACCATTTTATTAAATTGCTTATTGAAATAAGTGATTAATTAAACTTGATAAATTGATTTTGGTTGTAACTTGAAGTTGACATAGTGTTGTTGTGTTGATTTTTAGTCCTAGGTATAGTTACACTAGTGTTTAAGTTGAACTAGCTATA